GAGATTATATATATATATATATATATATGTATAACTCGAATCTCTATTAAATGCGTCTTAAAAAGCGAAGGCAAGAATTATAATATAGCCTCGACACAACACGTGTCCTTTCTCTGATGGCTATCAATTTCATTTCCACACGTGAAAAAACTTAGATAAGGTCATCTATTTCTGTTCAGAAGTGTGAAAGTTGTTGTCATCCTCTTCGTTACTATCTTATTCTATCCGTGTTGCTTATATCCTCTTTGGCTTCATATCACAAATACAAAATGTTGATTCTTAATAACACTTTTGTCTATTTAATAATTATGATGTTATTGAAGAGATGATTGATTATTATGAGCGTTTTAGCATTTTTCATGTAAGTTTCAAGAAAGTACAACTTTTCTTGCATTACCCATGTGAAAGGGATGCTTGCAAGAAAATAATTTATCCATCATGGTGTTCATCGTGGTTTCTTGTAGGACGTGTGAAGCCAGCGCCGATCATACGATATGAATAACTTTTTGCACATCGCGATGATCTCACACAACATTATCCACGCCCCATGAATCTTACGATCCAATAGAGATCTCTTCAGACAGTGCGGTACAACATAAAAGATATATTGTATATTCCCGGCTTGTAAAATTGTATTGTATTATATGATATATTAGAATGGAAATATGAAAGTGAAAGCTATTAAAACTATTAATATATAATATTTATTCTTGGAATATAATTATGCTGTTTAGAAAATGCTGCATCTTGAGAAGTTGTTTATAAAAAAAAGTACAATAGCTTAAAAGGTTTTGAGAATATAAAATCTTCAAATAATTAGAAACAGCAGGATTGTGTAACAAAAAGAAGAAAAAAAGCATATACACAAGAAATATAAAATATGTGAAAGTATCGATTTGTTATTACTTATATATACTTTAAAAAGTTGATGTTATACAATATTAATTTATAATAGATGGATATCTGCTATTTCTTCTTTAATTTATTAAAAATCTCTACTTTCCCTCTTACAGTTTTAGCTT